AAAAAAAAAAAAAAGACACCATATACAGTCGCAAGTCAAATCAAATTTAGTGTTTTAGATTATGAAACAAATTTTCTTTGCTTTTCTGATCTTCACAACCCTTCCCTGCCATAGACAAATACATGCACAAACCAACGCAAACAGGCTGGGAAGAGCGTCAAAACCAAAACACGTTAAACTGCGCATCCTAGCCCACTTTAAAACAGAGATATTCCTACCAAGCCTAAAAAAACAAGTACTTATTTTACCTGACAGCCATGTCCGCCATCTTTTCTCCATTTTCTGTCGGACGTTACTCTCCAACTACTTAGTCTGATCTATTTTTAAACTTAACGGGATGTTTGCTGACGTGTCTGCAGAGTTGGACACGCATACAAAGACCCTGACTAATTAGAACACAATCATCATAGGAGGGCATATTGACATTAACTTGGGCGGTAACTTTACACCTAAACATGTAAATTACAACTTGCCGCCCAAAACACTAACATTGTAGTCTCGACTCTGCCCTTCTGGTACAGCAGACCAACTCTATGCAGCAAATGTTACACTTTTTGAAATTATTTTCCTCTCAGCAAAACACTTCACCCGGCATGGTCTCCACATGAATCTTGCTGAAAAACATACACTCGGCAACACGCTTGCACAACACATAAACTCCAGTCCTACACAGTTTTCTGCCAACAATCCATACCTTTCACCTTTCTTACGTTCTCCACTCACCACGCTAATTTCGAACAAACTTACCTCCTACTATGATCCTTTTCCCGTTTCTCCCACTTCCAATTCTCCTACACCTGATACCTCAGTTTCCTAACAACCTGTCACTGCTCGGACACACTACAAACTTCGACCACGCATTCGAGGTAAAAAAGAGAGTAAATATATAGCAACTACAGTCAGTTGCAGTAGAAGAACATCTGTGCAGGTACTTGCAAAAGATTAACATACTGCAGCATAATGTTCAATCCCTTTCAAATAAAACTGAGTTTATCGAAGCAGCTCTATATAGCGATTTAAATCAAATGCATGTTCTTCGCTTCACAGAACATTGGTTATATCATAATCAACTTAGCATTTTCCAAATTCCAAGTTTTACCTCGCAGGCTATTATTGTAGAGAAAAGGAATCACAAATTTTTGAAATATTTGTTGGTCATCTTCCTACGCTGAAAAGTATATGCCTTTGCATCTACAGGCCTCCAACAAAGAGCAGTAGCATATATATAAAACTGGAGATAACACTCAAGAAAGTTACCAATCGCTCTTTTGAATCCTTTGTGTGTGGAGATTTTAACATTGATTTTCTGGTCGAATCTTGCTATTATAATAATTATAATAAAAATAATTATTACTATGATAATAATTATTATTACTATGATAATAATTATTATTACTATGATAATAATTATTATTACTATGATAATAAGTATTATTACTATGATAATAAGTATTATTACTATTATTATTGTAGTCTATGGTGACAAATCATCTCATTGCCCTGACTGGCAACCAAAATTGACCGAACCTGAGTAGTGCAACGCCGAAACACCCCCACATAGTTGTGGCTGCAATTATTCCTAATGGCGTTCGCGGAACTTATGATTTTAGTACTACTTCCATACGAGTTTTATGTTGAAATAACACGTCCTAAAGTTTCAGGGTTTTTATTATTAGGGTTTGTTCATGCACTGGAATTCATACATAATAGAAAACTTCCCTAATTCCGAGGGAGTACGTAACGTTTTAGGATATTCGTGACGGAATTAATTTGCATTCGTTCAAAAAATTCGTCAAATTATCGTTCTCCATGATCTCACGGCAGGAAGTAGATTCCTGCATGATGACGAATAATAGCCCAAATCTATAGCTCATTTGTCATTGCAAATTGTTTTCGTTACATTGGAACGCAATTTTCTTATCAATTCTTGTCAAAACGCTCGTTTCTTTCTGTATTCAGAATTCAACTTGTTTATGGCTTAGGGTAAGGACCCCAGAATTAAAGAAAAAACTTGCACAAAATACACTTCTCTTTATAGTACGTTTTTGACGTTACATGTAACTGTTTTTGATGTTAAATAAATAAAAAATAGTTGTTTTGAATGCAAAACACCAGTGTAACTCAACAATATTGCCTTTTTTGGCTTAAAAAGAACTACGTCCAACTTGAGCAAATCGTTTAAACCGGCAGTACACGCAGTTCAGGCGAGAGGGGCGGTGTACATTGTGGAGGAGACGAGGGGTAGTTAGGGGGTAGTGAAGGGAAAGTTTTGATGTCGAAGGTATTGAGCTAATGGTCAATACCTTCGTAACCTATAAGGTATTAATTATAATAAGGTGTGTGAAGTGTCGCCGACGGCACCATGTCGACCAAACCAGCATAGACGATATAGTTAAAATACAAAAATCAAACTGTTGAAATTATAATGCTACGTGATTGGTCACTTTCTTCATTACGTCATTTTCCGTTCTAGTCGTTACCGATGCGCCATTACTATTCTGTCTGTTGAAGTGAAAGTTGCTTAGTATGAATTTCGCAGTTTTATTTTGATTTTTTTTCTATCTGAGTAGCTGTCGAAGTTATCTGCATTTCCGCCTTTTACATTTCTTGCGCATTCCTAATTTTTATCGATTTGTGTTTTGGAATGACTTGCGTTTGTGCTGTGATTAAGTGGATTTAATACCATAGATTGATTGCGACAAGGCTTATGGACGGGTCCTGTGGAAAAGTGCCTTTCCTTTGGGACGTTTCCAAGTTACACGAAACATGAAATCGCACCTCGGTATGTTTTATGATATTTTTTATTTTTATTTATTCACTTTTTCGTATCATTAACATGCAATTTTAAAAGGGCAGTGACCCTTCACTTCCATATCCTTCCTCCCATGGTTTTTCGTGGGTGTGCCATGTTATGTATTTAAACTTTTTCAAAATGTTTCTACATGTTAACAAAAAATTTTCTCCATAGACAGACGTTTTACGATAGGATTGTTCCGTTCATAACATTGTTCACGTCATTGATTCACACCTGGTTTAACACTTATCTCCCTTCAACATTGATAAACTTTTAGGGAAAACAACTGTCACGCCCACACCGTAATATGTGCCGTTGTCTCAATCGAAGGGTTGGAGCTCACGGGATAAGATGCGTCATGGGCTAAGGTCTCATCGTGTCCAAGGCCCATCCGAGCAGAAAAACCTCGGCTCTGGTCAAGATCACTATATAGCACGCAGCTTACCGAAACAAGACTATTTGGCGTCGTAGATTTCAGGCATATCAAGGTTACTGGCAAAGTAACTAGACCACTCGAAGTGGCAGGCATTGCATCCAGAGCAAGTGGAGTGAAATTTAAAAACAAAGGTTGTACATTTGCTCTCAGGGTCGCGATACGCTACTGAATGCTTGGATCATGAAGTTTTTTGAGAAGGCAGGTGACAGGTTTTGCTTCAAAATTAGTAAAAATATTCCCATTTCCTCTACTAAAGCAGACAAATTAGCTACTAAAATGGAAAAGTAATATTTGAACTTATCAATAAAACTTAAATTTAACTATTTTGAAGTAAAATGAAACATTTTGAATCAAAATGATCTTGCTTTTGTGATGGCATTTATTTAACAGTACAATTATTGCATTAAATTCCTAAGTTCAGATTAGGAACAAAGATTGTTAAAAGAGCTGTTCGCCAGTAAGAGTAACAAATCTAAGGGGAGGTTATCAAAAACGATATTTGGAGACATGAAATTTATTTCACATTATTGCTTTGTACAATAAAGAATGATTTAATAAAACCAACTCAAAATGGGCAAAAAAAATCAATTCAAACGTAACATCACTCCTCAAATTATTACGTAAGTCAGTTAAAGTAAACACGAAATACATTTATAAGTAATACAGTATATAAACATTATTCAAATGTCTTGTTTGCTCTAAATATAACAAACTAGTCTTTGTAGCAAAGCAATAGGACGCGCTTTATTGTTATCTTCTTCTGCTACAGCGTGCTAAAGTAATCTTTTTTTAGATTTGCAGGGGAATTGAGAGCGGAGTAAGGTTATGTGGCATGTGATCACAAGACTTCCCAGGCGAGCAAATAGCTCGTGCTGGCGCAGTTTGACCTGCCAGATATACGTAGTATCAGAAAAATCAACACGTAACTTAGACACCATGAAAGGCACATAAATTTACCAGTTCGATGTTTCATATATATAAAAAGGAAGATACAAAAGAGGTGTTCGAATCGGTGTTACGAGTACAGAAACAAACGATATGGTCGTACAGTCTGTGCACAAGGAAAGTGAGCGATCAAAATCTTGACTTTGTTTAATAACCACAGAACATGTACATTAAACACAGATATATATTCAACTACGAAAAATTCTCCTACAAAATGACAATTTTCTAGAAGTGTTATTTGCCTTGGGCACCATTTGTTGATGAATGATTAAAATCCAGTTATTCACACAAAATGTGCTTTATTTACGAAAGTCAGTAACTGAATGAAAAGCAAACTTTTTCATCGCTAATATGCACTGCCGCGTCGGTATCACGTTAGTACTACGTATACTTTTTATTGTTATTCATAATTTGCGCAGTGTTACTGAACACCTGTTGATCGAAAATGCTTTCGGAAAAGTGAAATGAACGCACAATATTTTCTGCAATAAATGCCAGCAATTGGTAAGAGAAATAAAAAATACTTTACCTTTCATTATCAATCGCCATTTAAATGTGCACGATACTTACAGAAATATTCTTCACAATTCATATTTTTAACGAAGTGCTGAATAACAAGTTCAGTTTTCTCTTTACTTCCATAATTTCTATCACGGGATCCAATATATCAAACGAAACAATTTTACTCTGTTGACAATCCACAATAATATTGAAGGTTTAATGACATCCATTCGCGCAGCACATTTTAATTTACGATCACCATTAAGAACACTGCAAACCATGGTACACAACTAGCCAGATACCAGAGTGTTGCACAAAGAAAGTAAATCGCAGAATACAGACTACATACTAGGCAATACTATCTTCGGATTTTCGAAAGAAAATACAAGATAAAAATAAAAAGTATAAATCAAAAGTTCTCATTTAGTGTCTTACCGTTGAATATCCTTATTCTCTTCACCTTCCATTTAGACAAAATTACCCAAAATGCTGCAGCAATCCCGACGTTCCTCTAGGCTTCCTAGTCACTAATGATAATATCTAAGTTCCTGAAAATTCTTGATCAAAGAGACCAAATTTCCTACACTAGCGCCCCAAACGAGTGTCAAGCAAACTACAACGATAAGGAAAGAATATAGATAAGGGAAATAAATTGGTCATGAGTGGGAATTCATTGACTTGTTTAAATACGAGTTTCAGAGACATATTTTCTAAAAATAAACGTGTTAGAAAATTGTATTACTTCAATTTCGGAAAGATAACCCATGAATATCAATTAAATTCGTTGAAGAAATCCTGAACAAGACAACTATTTATGGATTGAATTGCCCTAATGAGAATACAAAAATCGTATGTCTTTGATAATACATTTTTTATATTTATTTTCTTCCTGCTCGGCAGTTCTGCCTTTCGGAGGTTTGTACATTTCTATTTTTAATACATAAACGAGTGAGAGGTTGTATTTCCAAATTTATGTTGTTGCCAGGTAATTTACAGAATTTGATACATTTATAACAGATACATCTAAACAATTTACATACAATTCACAATATTACGATACATTGTCCATCCTTAAATCTAGATATTCTTTATGCAAATATTCAAAATTTATCTTTATAATGGAATGAAAATTTACAAATTTTAAAATAAATTATATTTCATGAAAATAAATATTAAGATTACAACATATCTTTCGGATATTGAGAGCGTATTCTCTTGGAATTATTTAATGATTTCCCCGTTGTAAATTGTTTTACTGCAAGAAGAGGATGAAAGAGGAGTAAAACATTTCCAACAGATCTTTCTTATACGTTCGATTATGGACTCTATTTGAAATTCTCTTTGAAAGTGTATATTTTAGATGAACCAACCAATTTTAGATGAAATTGTAGTAAGAAGTGTGAATAATTTTTATAGTGAAAGTATACAAATAAATAATATGTTAAATCTGCTCCTGCCTGAAATTATATTGTTTCTTTGTTAAATGTCATATGCCATATGTTGATATAAGTTATAAAAGTAAACAACATCCGTCTATTCACATTTCTCTATATTCCGATAGTAGACATACACTTTACGTTAAGTATGTAAATAAAAATAAAACAATCCTGATAGCTCCTACCCAAATTGCGAAACATATCATAATGTTTACCAAGGTAAACAGTTGTGAATGTTTAAGTAATTTCTGTAACGATTTTCAAATGCTTAAAATATAAGTTATGGATGTTTTAAGAAAGATTTGTTTTGTGTAGGCATGTATTTTCTCTAGTGAGAATGTATCTGTATGTATACCAGCATATGAAAAAAAAGTGTGCCTGAACTTTCTTTATTTTAGAAAAGCCACATATTTCTCACCCTCGTATACCAACACATTCGTATATCGTATATTTTCTTTCTTATTGCGCAGTACTTTGCTGTCAATGGAATTTTTTACTATGTCTTCACTAAAACAAACTCTGCGCAATCATACGAAACAAATTGAGGTCAGTGTCACGAAATGCAATAAGAAATTTAACTATACACATTCCAAACACGGAACTGGAATTCAATACTTCCTGTCAATACTTATAAATTTTCGTTCTTTGCATCCGCGGCGTCGAAAGCGGATTCGTGAACAGAGAAGGTTACAGTATAAGAAGTATAAGAGCAGAGAACGTTACAGTACTTTCTCCTATCTACTCTTTAAAAAGCGAAAGTTATATAGGATTAGTTAATAAAAAGGTCCTTTTTGAATATATTCTAATCGGCTCAAGATGCTGAGAATCTCTCTACTTTTAACCAAGCGAACATTACACTCATTGTCATTAGCTGACGATTTTTAGAAGTTTATACTATTTTAAAAATATTGGACTAACTTATTTTAATGGAACACTAATATTCTTTGCACAAACGTATTCATAGAGAAAAGGAAAAAATAATACGTGTTGATATTTTAAGTGTAATTAACAACACAAGAGAGAATAAAAATCGGTGTCATACGAACAGAAGGTACTTGAATGTTCGTAACGTAACGCAACGCTGCGCAGCACAGCGGCCTTGGCGACCATGGCGTTAGAATTTCCCTTTCGAAAAGAGTCCCGGCAAAGCCCTCATTATCGAAAATCATTCCAGCAACTAAGTTCACATTTTATCCAAATAACCAGTCGATGTGACAAGGATTACCGTAAAGTTCTTATGTGTAGCATTGTTCCTCAGACAAATTAAAACATTTGCAATATTTAAAAGCACAATATTTACTTGACGTTGCGCGACGAATGTCACAGTTAGCAAGAGTACATTTCAACGATATTGATAAATCCCAAAAGCAACAAGAGAACTGAAGTACGTTTCTATACTTAACTAAGAAAATCATGCTATACTCGGGCAAGGGCGAATTAAACCGAATTGCAACTCTTATATTGTTTCTGTAATGTACTCTTGAATTTGTCATCTGACGATAAAGTGAAAAAAACTTACTGAAATTAAGTTGTTGGTAACAATACAACTGGATCGTAAATTTGTAAACATTTTAGAACATCAATTGTCCACAGAAACAACGCGCCACAGGGTCACCAATTTCGGACACCTCTCCATTAATACTTGCTGCGCAGTTAGGGAGAGTATTGTGCGCAACTAATAAACGTTGCGACTCACAGTAATAGATATGAATCTATGTTGCTCTATTTCTATTCCAATCACCGAAGAGCAAAAACATTGATATGTTTTTCTAAGCTCAGAACGTTTTATCCCACCGATTAGAATACCTTTCGACGCAAAGCGTAACTGCTCTCGAGGCCTTGCTTCTGTACTCTATAAACAACAAACATATCGCCATTTCTCGTTAGTATGCATGCTCTACCTTGCTCTTCCTTTGGAGTCATTCAATCTCTTCAAGCGACGAATTTATTTTTCTCTCTTTACCGACTGCCTCTTTACAATTGTGTGCCGCAGAGCCTATTGTTTAGATGAGGTCACAGCATGTGTTAAGTTACTCCTTGATTTTTTGAACCAGTGAACTATAGACTACGTGAAGATGTTAAGCAGTCCATCCACGCCACGAATGTTCGAACGTTCTGTAATTGGGATTTTATAACATGTGCTAATAAATATTCTTAAAATAACATGTGTAGTATTGCTGAATATTCTTGAGGTCTATTCTTAAAATATTAATATTCTCTTAATTTAAAAAAGGTAGCCTAGTTTCTTTGAAATAAAAAAAATTCTATTACAGTCTCTGATCAATCATTCTTACAAATGATTATTCCAGTTCATCCATTTATTGTTACCTTTCAAATTAATCTACCATTAGATTTTTTCGATTGTAAACGATTGCAATTAGTTGAGAGGTTTGCCATCATTAATCGCGATCGCCTGCCAGTCCGCGGGCAGTTGAGTGCGAAGAGCTTTCTCTAAACTTCATATTTAGATTAAATGTTCAAACAATTCTGGACACAGGCTCGTCAGTCTTAGTTATTAGCTCTTCAGGATTTTCCGTTCTGTAGGATGGCAAAATCTTCAGTACATTTTTGGCGTAATGAGGGATAACGAGTATGAGCCGTTATATTGTTCGCGTTATCTCAAGACTATCCGTGGAAACATAGGTTGAATATTGCAAAAAAGTTTCACATCCCCCCCCTCCCGAATTTTATATTCTTTCCAAAAGGTTTACTCTTACATTAATCAGTAATAAACTAGCAAAACTCACCCATGCCTTTTTTTCTGAAGCCATTACCATTCAAGGTAGTTTAGTTTTTACGTCATTGTGTTTATAATTTACGCTATTTTTCGAAAGAACATTCTCTAAATACGTTTCAATTTTCTGTATTTTTTTCTAGAGATTAAAGGGAAGGTTAAAATAACTTTACGTTTCATTTTAGTTGATATTTCTGAATTTTGAAAATTGCCGTTTGAGAATTGTGTTGAGACAAGTCGTTTTCAAGCGCCGGCCTGAGAATACGTCAGAGCATCTGCTTGTTGTAGAGGTATGGCGCACGGCCAGTTTTCTCAGAATCTGAGTGCAACCGGAAAAATTGCTGGTTATAAAGACTCCCGCAGATTCATGTAGTATGTAATATTTCTGAGCAGTTGTAAATACAACTTTCACGCAGTAACACGTAATTTTCTTTGCAAGTATTTGTAATGCCTACATTTAAGTACGTAATGATTGTAAATTTACAGTTATCTAGTTTTCTGCTAATCGGCATTACTGACCTGTTGAAGTCGTCCGTAACGTTCCCTTGTCAATGACAGTGGTGGAAATGTGTAATGAAATCTTTATCAATTACCCAGGGTCTTTCTGGGGTACTCCTGTGTAGTCCTCGCTTATTAATCGATACTGATTACAGGAAAACCTTCACCAAAAACAAGTATCATTAAAGTCCTAATTATTATTAATTTCTTTATTGTGAAAAATGTAGCGTACATAATGTTTCGTGGCAAAACGATATATAATGCACACGTGTTTTAAAATAATATTATATATCCCAAAACCTGCTGAACAATAGCATTATCAGCGTGTCAATGTAAATATAACGTAAAATATACTCATTACATGTATATTGCCATTTTTATACTCATTGCTAATAGTAACAGCTAAACCCAAAGTAGTACGTAAAACCATAAAATTATCTTTCTGAGGAGCATAACATTGTTTTAATACCTTACCCGTAAAATGTGTGCTCTGATTATATAACTGTATGAGATTATTTAATTTGATCATAAGAATTAAAATTTTAAAATTTTATGATAAAAAAACCTTTAACCCTAATATTTGAAACCTGTCCCAATATTTCTTATATCAATCTAGGATGTCCCATCTGTGACCATTGTAGCTTCCAGTCGCGGAAGCTTGTCTTCTTATAGAGTGAGAGACAGCACTTCATACTCTTCGACTGCGATCTCCACACCATTACACAGCAAGACACAGGCGCCTTCGTTTGGCATAATCTGCGACACAGAAAGCAGGTTGACACAGAGCACTTCTCTCACGAGAGTTTTCTTCTCCCACTCACACACACACACAAAATACAATTAGAACTATATAAAAAACCGTACTGATCCTACAAACAAACGACGTACATTCTACGACATTTTTACAATTTCTCGGCTAATCCAATGCTCGATGGCATATTAGTAGCACAATTGCGTAATAGCCACTTCATTCGGCACCAAAATGAATCGGTCTTCTTTAGACATGTCAAGGTCGCGGGGAAGGTAACGTTTACTGCAGCTCGTCCAGAGAAATTGGAAAAAACAAACAAATAATATCAATAAATAAAATTGAAAATCCTTACTCCACAAGCAACGTAGATTAGTCAAATGTTCACAACATGGTCAAAAAATATGAAAATTGCAAACCATGCTGGCTACAGACCCACTAACGATGGGAAAAGTGTTTTCCGAAAGTTAACTCATGATAATACTTCATAAAAAATAATAGTTTGTGGATGATTATTTCCTTTGCCATTTTAGTGTGTTCTATACAAGAATCAAATTCTTTCCCAAACGTATGCTCAAGGTCTCAGAAGTTGTGAATTGAACGAAGTCTCCACTACGTCGTTTTGATGTATAAAACATTACGAAGTAATATTTTGAAACCAATTCGGAGTGTTCATTTCATTTAACGTCTATTGTTTGTTGCACAAAGTGTACATCCACTATCCGTATATCTCGATTTTCGGCACTTTTATAAATATTGGAGTCTATGAAAACTACATGTTAACCATTTCATCTTTGTGCAGTAAATCTTACACTTTTTGATTTTAAAATAAATTGAGGGAATACCTTAAGTCAGTTTCAGGAATTTCATTTCTTGTTTATATCCATAAAATGTAATTAAGGAATACATTTGCATAGTATTACACATTTTATTATGCATCTTTTTACGCTTTATTTTTATAACGTAATAGGCAATTCATTTTGTATTGCGAGTATGCGTGTTCATTACAAATTCAAATTTGTATAGCCTGACAGAATCCAAGTTTTTGTGCTTTAAAGTACTATGCCATCTACCACACTTTCACACGACTGAAAACTGTATCAATGTTGTAGGAATTACAAACAGAATTGAAGGACCCGGGCGTAAAACAATAACACTCAAATTTCTGTGTATTTTAGGCATACTATAAATTTTGTCTATTGCTAGCTTTCAAGTAGTGAATGAAGTACATAGTTCAATTTGTAGCTCGAATTGAGTTATATTTCTTTATTATCCACATAAATTTCCTTTATGCAAAATGGCCACTTGCTTACTTCTCGAAACCGTTCCCGTTCGCTTGATGTACATGCGAACCTATCAATTATCATAATCGAACAACGTCTTCTGCGATATTAATACAATACTTCAGAAAATGAAAATCTTAAATTGAGCAATTGCCGGAACTTCAGCGAAGTCTCATCATACTCACTCTGCCCAAGCGCCAGCGGCCGGACTGGAACACGCGCGCCACGTACACAATATCCCTGGTCGGTGTCATCCCCACAGGGAAGGCTTGCTCCGGCACGTCGCTGCCCCGCGCCGGCATCCACGCAACAGTCCCTCGCCGCACGATCAACACCTGCACGGGCACGGAACAAGCAATGGATCGATTAGCCATTTCGGGCGCGTCATCCGCTAAGGTCATTAGTCCTATGCATGTTATTGATTTTTTTCTTTAGGGGGTGGCAATGATCTCCACCGGATGGCGAGATCCGTCGCCGACCTACCGTCGACTAACAGATTCCCCTCAACCACGTATCTCCCACCAGCGGGGCACCGTCCCAGCCAGGACAAACTCTGAGCTCCACACCGGTGACCCGGCATGTATAGTATTGTATTGCGTGCATGTGTAAGTAAGGTTTGAGAATAGGGCGATGAAGAGGAAGGGAAGATTGCACGCGGTAATTGGCACATTTGGGAGGGCATTGCTTTGGCATTCGCCTGGTATTGATCGGAGAAATAACTGAAAGCTACCGATCAGTGCAGCCGGCCGCTGGAATTTTCCTCCAGACAGCCCCCGAATTCGATTTAGCTTTTTTGCTACTCTCGGGAAAAAGAAAAAAAAAAACTTGAGCAGTGGAGGAAGTAGGGAAATTTTCTTTCGGAAAGTTTTGCAAATTTACTGGCTGACATTCTATCCACAAAAACTGAATAAGAAAAAATCTAAAATGAAATTTATTTAAAGTAATAAAAAATATAAAAAATATAAATTTATAATTTCTTTCAATCTTTGCATGAATTGGAGCCACACCTTTAAATCTTTTTTAAAAATATCTTTTTAATTATATTCGCCGGTCGGCATGCTAGTCTGTCTGGTTTGACAGTATTCTTTGACGAAGTACTCCTGACGAAACTGAAGGGTGGAAAAACGAGATCCATTCATCTCCTTCGGTAGAATTATTTTTCTTAGTACCTGCTGTTTTGTCGTTACATTGAGAGAAGTTTTGTCAATCCTGGAACGTCTAATCTCGCCCCCCCCCTTCGTTGCCACAGCGATGGTGAAATGATGACCTCCGCGCGATAGGTAATTTGACTTGCATCTGCATTCCGATGGCGGTTTCTATTAGCTTATATCTGATTTTCGAACATTTGAATATATATGTTGCACTGGTCTCAAGATTATTTTGCAAACGTCGAACACAGTCTGCCTCCTATTCTACTTGAAACTACGCCTAGACTATTTTTTTCGCTTTTGTATATCCTGAACATGATTTAGCAACTCGCGGCTTCACGTCTGTCGTTTTCATATTTTTAGGGGTACGGAGTCTATTCGTTATTGGAAGAATTTGTTCGGCGAGATAAGGGGACGGAGTCAAAATTCCATCGTTCTGCCTACCTCGAAGTTGTGAGTGATTCTCAGATCTCCTGCCCAGTGAACGTAGCAGCAGAACATGATGTCATCGACGATCGCCGGCAAGAGATAGCCGTGATGCGTCGCGCGTCCCACAAATAAGCCGTTCGGATTGTATCTCACGGCCAACGTGCTGGCATTGGCAGAGTACACTTCCGCGGCGGTCATCCACACCGCGCACGGCGACCCTGGGCCGCGCAGCACCGGCGGCGGCAGATGGAGCCGGGGATTGGTGGCCCGGCGACGCGCTTCCAGGTAGGCGACCAGGGCGCCGCCTGATTGCTGGATCGCGAGAGAGAGCGCGGCCGCGATCAAGCCTTCGGGCTCTTCCGCGTCTTCGTCTTCATTGTCATTTTCTTCGTCTTCATCGTCGACATTTGCCTCAACCTCGGGCTGTGGCTGGGGATCACCCTCGAGAGCGGGCTGCAGCTGGCGATCGGCCAGGGCCTCGGCCTCGGGCTCTACAGCGGGCTGCAGCTGGCGATCGGCCAGGGCCTCGGCCTCGGGCTCGGGCTCTACAGCGGGATGGGGCTGGAGATCGGACACGCTTTTCAGTTCGGAGGCTGTGTCCACGGTCTTATCCGTCTGGGAAGTCCACGCGGACTCAGGCGGCTCCCTGTGAAGTGCAAAAAATGCATTCTTAATACCATAAAATTTCCGCCTTCTTTCCGAACTCCCAGAAAATCCACAGCTTCTTCTCGAACACGCTTCTTCTTTAACTCTTTACTTGAAACATGGCACATTATGAAATATTTCTCTTTTGAATTAAGTTTTTACAATACAGAGTTATATTTCAGGGAAATTAATATAATTGTTAACCATGCTTATTTACATTGCCAATTCCGAAATGCGCACAAAAGCAACTGAAGTACACGTGTGGATACGTAATGGTATGTTGATTTAGGTTGCATTGAGGAATTAAAAATTTATGACTACACAATGGAACGTGAAACCACCTGCCTGTTAAATCTTAGAAACTTCGAGCAAGCACTCCTTGTTTATTACACATATCCTTTTTCTGTCGCCATTACATACCTGAGAGATCGTAAGCACGTCGTGCTAATTAATGTGCGTTTCATCTGGATAAAATTCTAAGTATGCAAAATAAACCAATTTGTAAATATACAATTGGACTTTTGCTGTACGCCTGAAGGACGTGAGAACACGAGGTCGATCCTTAACCTTGGCACTTAGATTAACGTGAAATATCGAGTCTGACATGCATAATTGTCAACGCATTTTATCCGATAGAATTTCCAGTAAAGCTCGTCGCAGTAATCTGCTGACGGATAACTAATTTCTAGAAAGCATTAAGTATCTCTATATAATCAAATTCCATCTCTATTTTCCGCATTTTACTAAACAAACATTAAAATTTCAATAACACTGCACAATTTACAAAACAGAACACGGCAGGATAGATCAACTCCGTAACCTTCCCTCAAAGCCTAATTTCCCTTGTCGCATCCATTGGGAATTTCTTCGCCAGAGCGAGCGTGGACTAACTGTTTAAACTACTACATAAAGTATTATATACTAATTAAAACTTATTGCAGTCACTCGCCTAACACATGTTGTTACGATCTGAAATAGGAACATTTCTGGCTATCATCTATAATTTACCATACACTAGTTTGTGTTACGTAGGATCGCCAGATTTATTCTTAATACTCTTTTAGAAGAAATCCTCTGTTGTAATCTTTTTCATAAATTAATATTTTGTATTGTTAAGTATTTTAACTTCGATGTATATTATTACTGTAAAATTGTTAAAATTTGCAGATAATTATTTCACAGTTCTTGGTGTTCAAATCTAGTTGGTAGTTGTCAATTCGTTTTAAATCTTACCACAAACTGTGCTAGAGTTCTGGATCGAGATCAACATGAATCGAAATTAAACATTGTGACCCAGACAATTTTGAAAACTTTAACTTGCTCAAAACCCAAATTTGAAAAAATATTTTAATATTTTGCGGGTCCAGAGAGACGGAAACAGGTTGAATATAGAATCAGTTAAAAACTTTGACCACCACTTAATATTTTGAACTACCCATTGTATGAATACTGCCTGCAGAAAACAGAATTTATGTCAATAATATAATTCTTCCATATAGCAGTAGTTCCAAATAGTATATAGTCAATTCTAGGAAAGCTCTACAAACGTTTCTTGTTCTTGTTTTGTACTATTACAAAATGTACTATGTTACTTTAAACATATTGCAATGTCTAATTTCTATATTAAATATTACCGAGTGAAAAGTATGCTTTGATTTTTGTATAGCAGGCATTACTCTTCAGCGGGAAATTGCAAGTTTGCACTCGCACATAAAACGTTTCTTCATTTTCACAATTTTGTATTTTAAATATTTTCTAAGGGTTGGATAACGATTCACATATGTAATATAAAAAGTTATAACCGCCTATTTTGAGAAGGAACCATTATTAAAAGTTTATATTTAATCCCACAAAAATTGTAATATTTAATATACATTTTAAACCGCTAATAATTGTTTGAAAGCCAACTTCAAAATCCTGAAATAAAAAATAAAGAATGAAAGTAGTTCATTATTGGAAATATGTAAAAATCAAATAAAGAAATAAAAGTTGTTATTCCTGAGAAGAGACGAATTTCCATTGCAATGGTAGGTCAGAATTATTTTCTAACTTTAAGATTTGATAACCCTAGTCACACAAAGAAAGTAACCGGCAAAACACTAAACGTAGTATGTAATACTGACTTCAAATTTTCAGAAGAAAATTCTGTGGAAAAGTGAAACCACGTGTTTAAAATAAATATCGAACTTCAAATATCTTACCTTCGAATCCTCTTATTGCCTTTACCTTCCATTTCGACGGAGACCGAGAAGGCCGTTGTATGCTAACGCTCCCCTGGGCTCCCTAGTCACAACTGATTACATCCTGTTCTTCAAACTTCTTAAACAATAGCCCAGCCCTTCTACACCAGCGCCCCCAGCTTAGTTTTACACAACTACGAAAAGCAAAGAAAGTGCATAGAGAATAAAAATACAATTCTGTGTAAATCATTCTTATTTTACACTTTCTTTATTTTCATTCTTCTTTTTTCCACACTCGTTAAAATTCTCCACGAAGGTAAAATATTTCAAAACTCTAATATTCTGCGTATTAAATTGAAAATATTATAAGGAATATAATATTTGAAGTTTGAGTATCAATTATGTGTGCTGCTTCGCTGGAAAAATCCTGGAGGTGATAACACTTTGCAGAAAGGACAATTCAAACGAGGCTATTGAAATTCAGCTTTTATAAAGCAGAGTACTTCTGTAATACATAACTAGTAAATAAATATAAATAAACAAAATAAATATAAGTAAATAAAAGAAATATAACTACTTTTTTTTAAAAGTCTCAAACGTAAGAAGTGGGTGTCATATTGATTAGTGCAGAGGAATAAATGTAGTTTTTCAACTCAGCCATAGGACTGTTATGTTAGATTCAGAAGTTTAAATGTGTAGTGGAATTGTTTCTAATGCATTTTTACTTTCCCGTATACGTATATATTCGGAGTATTATACGGAGTATAGGGAAAGTTATATAATGCTGCAGAAATCGATTCCCCGCTTTCAACGGAAATATAAGTTTTTGGGCCCTTCATACGGATAAAGTGTTGTTTTTTTTCTTCAAAACGTCCGTCTGACCATCGGTTTGTCTGTCCGTCCGTCTGTGAACACCACTAGCGCCTAAACCATATGAAGGATTTTTTTTTCAAATTGAAATCCCTGTACGTCTCGAGTCGAAGCTTTGAGATTTGAAAAAAAAATTCTAATTTTTTTCTTTAAATTTATTGTAAGAATTAAATGCACTTATAAAAGTGGAATAGGTCTGATTTTCAGGTTAAATTCTGAGTTTTTCAAAATTTCCAAATTTTCCGGGCGTGTTCATACAACTACAAAATTGAAGATAGAGATTTTTCCCTCCAAAATAATTTGTTCTTCATAGTAAGTTCTTTCATTAAAGTCATACTTTTTTGAAATTTTTCGTACTTTCGCGCAATATTGCATGGGATATGTGCAGTTTTAAAAAAATACAAAAACCTGCTTTTCTCAAAAACTGCTCCAATTTTTTTCTTTAAACTTTGGATTGGTGTGAATAGTGCTAAATGCTCTCTATAATGTGCCATAAATGCCATATTGCAATATTTTATTCAAAAATTACAAAAATTTTAATTTTTGACTTGTCTGTCACGTCGTTAATATTTATATCATTTTCTATATTATTTATATTAATTTGTTCACACTATTTTATTTATGAATACATGTGCTTTACATAATGTCACAAAGTTTCTCGAAAACAAACCTTCAAATTTCGAACGTGCAGTAGCGCTTAAGCTCCATTTACTTAAAAACAGCTGTAATTTAAAAAAAATTGGAATTTAGGACGATTTTTTACTGTTCCTTAATATTCGTAATATAATATTTCCGTTCTATTATTAGAAAACCAAAAATTAAGAAAGTTTCAAAAAATGTACTTTGTAATATTTTGCATATTTGTAATATGTGCTTTGCAATATATGGCAGCTGGCAACAGCATGTGACAAGTTTGTATAGCTAGCAGAGACCAAAGGAAATAGAAAACTAATACAGGAGAGTCTATGCTATTCAGAAGCGCCACAAATTCTCTATGCATTTAATTACCTGACTTATTATTAATACTGACCTGCAAAAGAGAAAACTTGAATTTTTGGTAATGATATAAAATAAGTACCATTGGTATTATATAATTATAAAAGGCAAAACCCATGTAACAAGTTTTTTACTTCATCTTCAAGGTCTATGATCCCATTAGAATTGCCCAGTTACCCTTTGTCCCTGGGCAATTGCTGAGATGGCGTTTTGTTTTGCATATGGACCTACCTTGCACCTATCGTCACCATCTGCGTACTATTTCTTGGGCTCTGTGGGTGTATTAGTGAAGAGTTTAGTTACATCGTCACTCACAGAGTATAAAAAAATTGTCCATAGTCTCACAGTACTCCGTCTAGTGGGGCACTATAAAAGATAAGATCCGAAATATGCAAATCTTTGGCTTATGCAATTAGTTTGTATTTCACGGGAGCCAATGTTTCTTGTTACCAATTGTAGCCGCAAATGCTCGTTTGTGGGTTAGGACACCATTCCTTTCAGAAAGTATACGGAGACGCTTTAAATTTGAAATTTATGCCAATGTTGTACATACAAACATGCGATTCTCACAAACGTGTAAATATTGCGCAACTAATCAATAACGATTACCAGCAAAAATAAAGTGTATTTGTGTGTTATTGCATCTTATGCTGTACGTCTGAGGTATATACAATGATCCTGTTGCATTAACTGCAATACGCTTAGGACTAATAATATTTTTTCAATGGGACTAATCATTAATGAAAGCATGCTTACACCGTTTGCGATTAATATTTTTGCAGCGTTGGGTGTGATTCAGAGTTACAAAACAATGTGGGTTATTCCACGTCTGTACTCATAGTCTAAATTGTTTGTTCACACTCAATGTGTAAGTACTTATTTTGCATCATATAGTCACTACTGAAATGATGAATGCAGTGCAGGTGAACACTTGCAATCGTTGTGTTCATTTCAGTGTTTATTCACCCTAAGTTAACAAAATTTAAAGAAAGACACGTAAGTGTGGCTATTAAATGTAGCGAGAATATGTGTCTGCAGCACACATCAAGAACTTCACTTAACTTTGTATAATATTTTATATTTTCGGTGAACCCCCGACAAATTCCCTCAGGTTATGTTTTTGGCAGTTTCCAATAGAGGAGTTGCGATCGAGACACTGTTGCTGCATTCGTTGCTCATCATAGATTGCCGCCTCTAATATGTATGATGTTGCTATTATGTGAAATTGTTATATTTTGCGACACTATCTTTTGCGAAATGACACACGTGCGCTTTTGGTGACGTGCGTTATTGACAACGCGCGACGCCCGTTAGGCGAAAGCTTGAAAACGCGTGTTATTTTCACTTACGTTACAGCTTGATCGTCTTGGTTGTGCTGTAGGCACGACGCACCTACACAAGACCGCTTGTGTGCAGTTTCATATAAGATGATGTTAATCTACGTTGCGGGTTATGTGACTCGTATGGGCAGGCGCCAACGCAGTTCACTTTACTAGCGTTAGGCGACACTTGTCAATACAACGCTTGTGTGACCTATATTTTTCATTTGTACACTTAAAAACTAAGATTCAATAAGGATGTTTCTTCTACAATGCAAGAAGTATGCAAAACTACTTGTTTCGATGAAGAATTGGATTGTTTGTAATGAGTGTCGATATAGAGCAAGATATCGATTTATTTTGTAACAGGTTGAATATAAAACATTTCTAACAATTTCGTAAGAAAATAGTCTTATTTTCTCCCCAGGGAGAAACTTAGACCTCTTATCGTAGCAAAACTGCAAAACTGTACAGGAGCGCTCTTGGCGACGGGCCTTGTCAACGCGCGTCGCCTAGCGGTCTTCGCATGTTCAAAACTAGAAAACGCGTTTTACCTTGACTCGTCTTGTAGCTTGAGCATCTTGCTGACGTAATCAGCAATAGGTGACTCGCGTCAATGTAGCGCTCGTGCGACAGGTTTCTGGGGCCAAACTAAAGATAAACAAGTGTTGTGTGAACGATTCGGTGTCGCACTTTCGTACTGCGAGGTCACACCACCGACGTGATGACAATTGCAAGAATGTAGTTTTAATACGCTAGATAGTTTTTATTCCCCTCTTACTATGAAGTGAATGTATTGTAATCGAGCGGCGGAAATCTGCAATATTGCCACAGGAAAACTTCTTACCGTACCCTGGTAACAAAGTGAGTAAATTTGGGAAATAAGTTTTCGAAAATGGTTTTCGCGTACATGTGCATTGAAAATGGGCAATTTTGAATAATTGTTTTCAATAACTCCAATTTTTTTCTATGTATTTTTTCCTCGTACCAAAGGATTGCAGAGAAAACTGTCTGCTCATTTTCGGCAAACTTTCTCATTTCGAAAATTGCAAAAACTTAAATAGTAAAACGTACCATGTAGATGATACATTGTCTTAAAATGTTTCAAACAACTTAATGTCATGTTTTTAAAAATTTTTAGTGTAACTTCTACTTGAAAACGTTCTCCAAAAATGCCTCAATGTTTTGATTTTTTAATCTAATAGTGCAAATGACAAATGACCCAGACCTAATTTTCGACGAACATTCTTACAAAATTGCAAGTACATTTTAAAAAAATGTTCATCACAAAACTAGATATTTGAATATTGTTAATGAAAATCAATTTTGGTGAAAATTTGAAAACTCAAATACATTTTTTTATAGTTTGGCGATTGATATCCTGGCGTGCGACTGGTGACGTGGAAATAACGTGCCTGGCATATTAACTCGGCTAGAGTGTGAGACTATGCGGAGAACAAAAATCGCTGCTTTAAGACACTTACTGCTTAATACATTAAATTATTGCTTATTTTTTAAAAATAATGTCGGAAAGCACGTGTTGTAGTTCCTAATTTTTACAATATAGAATCTAATAGAATCAAATACACTCGTTATAAATCCCGACCACAGAGGAACTGTCTGGTCAATTGCGTAGTAGTTTAAATTTTCTTAAGGTTTGAAAAGAACGAAACAATTAAAATTCAGATTTTATAAACTAAACAAACTTCCTTATACCTATATTAGTTTGTTCACCAAGTTGAATACACCGTTTGACATTCTTTAAAACAGAACTACGGGGTAAATCTGGGATTAACAAAATTATATTAATTTGCATTATATTATATTTGAAGTATGTGAGCTATTTAAAATACTCCTTTTTGCATCCACTGAAGTTGATTAACTTTACATAAACAACGCAGGTAATGTGTTAGAGTGCAAAGAAGGAAGAAATTTACTCATTGTAGGGTTTGTCAATTTTTTATTTCCATCAGTAATGGCATCACCAAATACCAATTCCATGTAACATACGTAAAACAATTAAATTTAAAATCGATAACTAGTCATAACAAATTAATTTAGAAATTGCCAAATTACATACGGAACCATCATGAATTACATGAACAGTTGCCGCTACTAAAGGTATGCTGAAGTTAGCAGATATGCAGGAACTATCAATTTTTAATATGGAATAGTATTGTATGAAATATACGATTATGATTCACTTAGTATTGGTGTGTAATTTAGAATATGTGGTTAAATATGTAATGTCACATTTGTTCGAAATGTATTTTATCCTAAAATCAGTCATTGTTCATTATTATTTTAATATTAGTCTACAAACGAAGAGTATGTAACAATATTTTTACACATTGTAGATCATTGTTTTAATTTTCAACATTTCACACTACGTAATTCATTTTAAAAAAATATTTTGAAATAATTTTCTTAGTGCATAATTTGATCATTAAATTATGACGAGAGGAATAAAATAATCGTGAAATTGTTAATCATTTACAAAAGAGGTTCACTTCTATGATCGAAATCATTTCTGAAGGTTTCACGGTATGCAATCCATGCCAGGTTGTTCCGTCCATTACCATTACTGCTACCAGCTGTGTAGGGGTGGCTTCTCATGGCGTAATAACTAGCACTTCATACTCTTTGAAGGCCAACTCCTCGCCCTCTTCGACCACCATACATGCGCCTTCACTTAGGATCACCTACAACACAGAACGCAAGTTCACATACAGTACCTCTCTCGCATTCACATGCTCTTAAAGACAATGAAATGAAACAGACAATTACATTTAACAAGTTATTTCCAATTTTCTAAAAAGTAATAGCAACTAACAGCAACGATGCTACTCTAGCAATCACATTCAGAACTACGATTTGTTCTATTAGTTTGTTTTTTCCCCAAACCATTAATACATAGGTTTAGTCGTCCACTTATTGCTGATTTACCAGCCATCAATAACCTACACGAAATATGTAAAATTGCATTGTCCTAAAAGAAATTTATTAGAAGTGACGAGCTTCGTAATGATAACTCACAGTTGCTGTACTTTAAGTACAATTAATTGAGTATCGAAATAATAAATACGTCTACGAAAAATGTTGATCTGGTAAACTATCTGTGGCCTCTAACAAGGAGCGGTAGGTTGGGCAAGAACATTTATTAGAGAGCATCGCCTAACTTAGTTTCAGTATACAACTTTCGAGTTGCGAGGTTTTCATGTGCGTCAATCTGCAAGAAGACAAATTGCCTCGAACTTCGTATCAGGAATTCGTTATTTACTTTTGGTGATGGGGTCAAAGCAAAATTCTCACTTTTTAAGGGATCTAGAGCGTTACCTTGATAGTATTTTTTTTTACACCAGCACCCTTCAGTTATAATCACCACCTTCTGCGACCTCAATTCTTCCGAACATGAAACATCTAAAAATAAGCCAAGTTCGCAGACATTGGCCAAGCTCTCCGCAACCTCGGAATACTTAAGGAATATGAAAATCTAAAACTGGGCTATCGCCACGACATCAACGAAGTCCTTGTCGCTGCCATACTCACTCTGCCCAAGTACCAGCGCGAGGCTCTGAACACGCGCCCCACGTAGACGGGCTCGCAGTCCACCCCCAGCCCCACAGGCAGCGCGAACGCCGGAGAGTCGCCTTCCACCGCCCGCAGCCACTCCACTCTGCCCCGCAGCACCACCAGCACCTGCGTGGGCACGCGAGCAGGCAAGCGCCTCCAGTCAACCGTCATTTGTGACGTTTACTTCAGTTGAAACTGATAGTATCACACCATAAGAGTATTCGTATTAAATAAGTAAAAGACGTTGTACGGTATCAAAATTATATTTAATCTAAAGATATTTGCGATCGCGTAGCGATCATCTCCAGAGCTTGTAGCGGGATGGCAGAAAACCGCTCAAACCGGGCTATCGCCACAATATTCGGTAAGTCCTATTCGCATCCAAAGCAGAACTTTTTTTCCCCTCTCACGCTGCAAGCTCTAAGGATAATCGCTACGCGATCGGAATTATCTTTGGATTTAATATAATTTTGATATCCGACCATATCTTATTTATCTAATTCTTGGAAGTTATCTTACCTCACCCGCGATCTTATCAATATTAATGTATTCTTATTATCAAAGCACACTTTTTCATAGTCGTTTAATAGTCCCCCTCCCACGCCAGTATCCACTCCTTTCTGCCCCCGCAGCGCGACCAGCACCTGCATAGGCCCGGAAGCGTGCACAGGGACATGCAGAAGCAGGTTTATTGAGAGGGCATTCTCGTCAGGCACCCACTATCCAAAGACAACCATTTCTTTTAAAGTTTTACTTCAGTCGATTAAAAAACATTGTATCAAGCCGAGAAGAGTATTCGTATTATGAATGCACATATTTAATTTTGATAGGTACAAAATTCAAGTGTTTGCTATATTGCTTAGAAATGTGTATAGAAAGAACCGCAATTTAAATGGTTCCAAACCCTTAAAATACTTTTTGGATTCACTTCTTGGTTCGTGCATGCATGCAGAATTCACGTACTTGAGCGCAACTAACATAAAAAGAATCAGAGGGAAAGTTTTCAAATTTTAACGCCTTAAACACAGTTCACTGCTTTCCTCGGGATGAATTTTTCTCTGAATCAAATTCACTGTATCATTAGGCTTCTACTTATTAATCAGATCCTATATATTTCTCGTACATTTCAGATGAAAGCGACATGTTCTTCATATTTACCATAAATAGTTTAATTTTTGGCCTTCAAAGTATAGATTCCTGTAAAATGTTTTTTTAATGGTATCGTTTTAAATTTCGTCACAGGCACGTTGTGCCCATTTACAGGACTCGATCTCTCAAGTCTGAGTGCTGGCTGGAGAGGTCAGGCCTGACTCCAGGGCCACGCGCGTTACCAGATTTCGTAATAAGTGGCCCAATTCCATCAGGTAAATTTGCTTTTCTTATCGTTTGTATCCGAAAAAAAATGTTTGTATTTTTTCTTCGACAAAATTTAAAAACCACCTCATCTCGTTGAATCAAGATAAATAACCGTAATATAGAACTAATCGTCAAGAGATTTCCAACTTCAGTTAGGAAAACTTTCTCAGCAAAATTGACATGGAAAATAATTGTAGCAGAACGTGACGAGGAGATCGATTCGTTTTTCACCTGATGTTGCTTAACTATATGCACTGGATAGTGAACATTCAATATGCCCCACCAATCTGCATGTTCACGTTTATCGTTCTCATCTCCTAGCAGTACAGAGGACACGGCGGTCGTGTAGATTAGCGGTTAAGAGCCGCCTCCCCGCTCAGAGCGCAGGCAGCACCTTACCTCAAAGGTGTAGGTGACGTGCACGTCGCCGTCCCAACCGACGAAGGCGCAGAACATGTTGGGGTCGACGCGCGCCGGCAACAGGAAGCCCGCGCAGTGCGCGCGCCCGACCACGGGGCCCTGATCGGTCCCGCTCGCCCGCACCACGTAGGGCAGCACGTCCGCCGCCTTCACCTGCGACGACTTGACCCACGCGGCGTACGGCGGCCCGGGGCCGGCGAGCGCCGGCAGCTTGACGGGCAGCTCGATCGGCCGGCCCGCTAGGCGATGGCGCGGGTGCACGCACACCCACGGCGACGGCGAGTCCACCAATACGTGCAGGTCGCCCGCGGGCTGGGGACGTCCAGCAAGCAACGAGAATGCATTATCATTATGGCAAGGCATGGACGGGCAACAACTCCAACCACGCTGCTCTACAATTGGTTTTTTTTTTTACACAATTTTTTTATACAGTCTCTCCACGGAAAATAAGGCATTAATTCAATTCAATTAATTCAATACACTTTACTTTTGAATGCCCCCCCTATTATTGGAGAGCCGATTCCAAATGTTATCAGTTTTTCTTTATCACGTCCAGTTTTCTTAAAGAATCAAAAACAAAATTTTCATATATACCCATGACCGGTGTGTATATTTATATCCTTCAAGATCGTTACGCCTAAGAAATTTGTGTGATCAGAATTAGATTACATGTTAAGTAATTGTAAACCGAATGCACGTGCATTTCACAAGAACGACCAACAATTTACCCTGTAAAACGGAAACATACCCAACTTTAATATAATTGTAACTTGGAGGAAGAGTGTCCCAAGATAAAATAAAGTATAGATATATCTGACTAAAATTCATTTCATGAGATTTTATTTTATTCATTTGTTTTGGGGATTGACTAGCTGTCTGGTCAACGGCTTTGGGGATTGACTGTCCCCCATCAGGCAAAACAACCACGAGCTCATATTGTGAGAAAATATAGTACCTCATGCACTGGCGAGTAACAGTGCTTAAGGTAGTCAACAGGAGTGAAAGATTAACATTAATAAAGTTTATAACCATTTTTAACAACATTTATATTAATAAAATATCATTAAATAAAATTATATCCCAAATAAAAAAGTTAAAATTAATATTTAGATTTTGTATGGAATATTCTTCGGGAATTATATATTTTGATCCATTTGATAAATGAGAGTATTCGCATGATAATTGATATCGATATACTAATATAGTTTATACACATGTCTACCTCTGGTTGCGGCGGCGGACTGGGCTCGTGCTCCGGCTCAGGATTTGGCTGTGGCTCAGGGTCTGGGTCTGGCTCCGGCTCGCTTGCCAGTTCCACGTCTGCGTCTGTCAGGATATCGACGAAGCTATCAGAACTGGTGCCGGGGTCTGTGCCGTTGGCCCGAGTCCTCTCCGACGGCTCCCTGTAGGTAGCCGAAACGAGTACTATTAATACTTTGCGATTTCAATATTCGCCTGTACCTAGTGTTTATGTATTTTTTCATAGTTAAATGCGAGTCATTGCTCCCAAATCTCTGCCATGCTTAGGATGCTTGTGCATCGAGGTATCCGAGACAAACTAACAAGCTATCTGAGAACCAACTGAATTCGCTGAATTGAGTTTAGGCGCGTCAGCTACTAAGGTCAGTAAAGTACACGTTTCTATCGCAGGACTTCGCGGTGAACTTTCCCGGCTGAAGTCGAAATCTGGCGCTGACCTACACGTTGCCTTGCAGGGGTTCTCCCACCAGCTGGGTAGGGTCCTAGCCGGGACAACCTCTGAACTCTCTATTGGTTTCCCAACGTGTGTGAACCTAGTGACCAAGTAATGTGTGTCCCGTAATATGCTTGCATGCACAGACGTACTTGCGCAGACGTCTTCCAACCGTTTGAGCTCTCGGGAGCCGAGGCACCATGAACACCGAAGCCCCACCGCGACCAAGGCCCGTGCAATAGGAGATCATCTCTACGAGTAGGAGAACTAGCGCGTTGGTCGTGTACGAAACTTTTTTGGATTCATAGAGGCGGAATCAGCACACTAAGCACGTAACGTAGGCATCAAGAAAGGCAGTAATGTCATCCCTTATCGAACTCCCGTTCCCGTACAAAGCCCATAAGTTGCGAGATTAATAAATAAAAGTTAAGAACGAATAGAGGGAACAAGGGCTTTGTTTCGTAGCTAAAACTAGAATGGCTAGTTTTCATTTTTCTTTGAAAGCCAAAAAAATGTTGCCATAAAATAAGTTTGAAATTATAAGCTGAACGCAACCCAAAGATTTTTTTGATAAGCAGCGAATGTTTGGACTTTGGCCTCGTATTGAGTTTTGACGCACATGTACCGGCTGATGAGGCTAATGGCCTCAACTACTATGCCTCTGACCGGGAAGGTCTAGTGCTCGTTTCCTAACGGTGGCAGTATTTTCCACACCAGCTAGAACGTTAGGTCGATTTCAGCCGCTGTCGGAAGGACTTGCACAGATCAGTAGCAGACGACCGACAGAATAGTTCCATAACAAAAGCGGGCGATCATTCCTCTTTCGTCTTATACCACCCGCGCACGCACACACTCACACGCTTCACTACATCACATGTCGGGAGACCAGTTAAGAGCGTCGGGCTAGACTGGGGAGGGTGCCATGCTGTACTCCTAGGTTCGGAACCCGTTTTCACCATCCAACGGAGGAAAATCACCGCCATCTACCGCGATAAAAACACGCACTTCACTTACGTGACTTATTTCCATAGGTGTTGACGCGCCAGGGACACGAAATGATAAATCTGATACGCTTAGCCAACTCAACTCTGCCTTAAAAGTTTGTTTATAAATACGATGCCAGTCTGCGGGCGAAACCATGCTGTCTTTTGCCACCTCTCGCAAAAAGTAGATTCCTTCACGCGAGTTTCGATAGGGGATAAAAATCTGGGTATTTTTGTATGATTCATTATGGCAATACATTAGTGAAAGCTGGACATCTTATGTCGATATCGCGCGTTCTGATATATTTATTGTCATGCCGTCGGCGCACAAAGATGTAACATTTCAAAAGTTTAGACATTTCATCAGATTCCGAAACACATTTAGAATATATTTTTTTCCTAGTAATTACTGCATTCATCTCATTCACGTGAGAAGTGTATACCCGGGGGTCAACCCAATATATTGGCTCTCCCACAAAAGGGGTTTTTAGCTCTCGCCCGATTCTTCCCGTTCACACAAACGCTAATATTTCCTGAACTATTGTCCAAATGTTTTTCCGCTGCGTTTGCTTTGCGCTGCAGAAAAGATACGAGCAATTCCACTGCGCGTGGGCCTTGGCAATTTCGTTCGTTTCTTCACGTGCATCAGCAGTTCTTTGTAATATCGCAGTAGCGCTGTAGTTCATTCACCGATGAAAGTAATTGTGTTTAGGATGTCTCGTAACGCTAATATATTTCTTAATATTTCCATTATCACTCAGAGAGGCTTTCACCGTGACAACTGTTGAATAGATACGAGGGAATAGTCTGAAGTGCCTGTCGCACGTTTCGTTGCCTCTTCGCGCCGGCCGCGCATGTTGGGCGAACTTAACGGCACAGATTGACCTCGCAGCGCGTCACACCCGGATTTCTGACGGTCTGCGTGAGCTGAAGTAATTCCGCAATTCTCAATTTTGTTTGTGTTTTTGACAAAGAGCATTGTTATTAAGATATTACTCTACGTTCGTCATCAACTACAGGGCTGACGTAGTATACGGTACAACTTATGTAAGTCGTTTAAACAGGCACTTCGCGCCGTTCCGGCGTCAACTAGGCAGTTAGAATTCTGGGGGCTTTCTTGATAAGTGATGTCTTATAAAAGTGAATTGGTAATCATGCGTTGGCTAGACTCAAGGATGTTTATAGTGAAGCAAGGGCCGAAGGCCCGAGCTTCGCCGTGACTGATCCGGGCGAACGGCATCATTTAAAAATGGTGATAGCTATACAATTAAAAAGGCTATTTGAAAATATTAAGATGAGTCATATGCACCTCGTAAGCAATTACTTTTGTGAAATCTCCACCCCAGTAACGGAAACGGTCCTGAAATATTTGAGGGGAACAGGTCAGCCACCAGTACACAAGCGAAAACGTTTTTGAAACTGTTGACTACGCTCAAGTATTATTGCGGATAAATATATTCACTCACAAAACATTTCACATTTACAATATTCAATAACATTGCAAGGCATTTTGTACATTCTACACACTACAAGTTTGCACACGACGAACTTAACGTATACACAACGTATATAATCTGTAATTAATACTAATCTGGGATATTCAGAAGAAAATACTGGATAAAATAAACGAAAATAATTAAAAATTAAATATCTCATATAAACCTTACTTTTGAAGCTTCTTGCTGTTCGAACTGCCCATTTGGATGCAGATACCTGGCACGCGGTGTCAAACTGGCTTTCCTTTAGGCTTCCTAGGCACCACTGATCTGAAGACAATCCGTGGCAGTTCAAACTTTGTGAGCAACGCACCCAAACCGTCTACAACAGCGCTCCATCTGAGTTTTGTGCGAACTATAACGAGGACAGTACTAGGAATAAAAAACTAAAACAGTTCTCCGTAGAATCTCATTGTTTGAATTGTCCACATATTATAAATTACTCACTAACAACCTGCTCAAGTATAAAATATTCTAATAAAGTATTTTAGTAATGTAATTAATGTTTAGTAGGCCAATTATATATTTTGGGTAAAGTAATCTTTTTTGTATATTTTATTTCATATATCCAAGTACATATTTTTTGGTTAATCAACCAAATGCATATTTCATTATTTCAGGTTGGGATTGCATTACTGATAAATATAAATTATTTGTCCGTATTCGTTCGGAAATCCATGTACATTATAACAACTCTTTGAAACTGGTGCTGTTATTAATCTCTTGTATAATACATAAAAAGTATAATAAAGAACACTGAAAAATTTATGAAATTGCCTTAAATTTCAGACTCCTTGCTAATTCTGGCTTGTTTTTCATAAAATAACTTGTGAAAGTGTTATCAGTACGATTGTGTTCTGTTACGGGAAAGTATAGATATTCTGGATCTGGCTTCCAAAGAATAAAGTCACTTCAGAAGTCATACTCCGCTTCAGAAGGCAACATTAGTCGCTGCGTGAAAAAGTATTTTTCATGTTTGGAAATATTATGATGCGATTACACGGAATGCGTTGTGAGAATGTTTCGAATGCGAAAGAAGTGTGCTATTTTTTTAGGGTAGGAAAGTTCTTGTACTATACACTGATTTAAAATTGATATATGAACTACTATAACAGCACATCAAAATTGATTTGTGACAAGACATACGTGTGCGATTTCTTAGACTTTGTTCTAGTAGTTTGCGCGTTTGTGGGTGTTGTGTTTTTATTGATCTTTCAAGACAGAGTTATTTATTGCATTACAGACTTTCGACAGAGTTACTTATTGTATTGCACGGCAAAGAACGCAGATGCAGAACATAAAATCATGGTAAGGAAAATAATAGAATTTAAACCAGCTGCTGCCTGAAATTATATTTTTATTTTTCATCGCAGTTAATGTTTGACATTCTGATATAGGCGATATAACGCGAAGGAAATTCCTGTTTCCTTCGTTCACGATTGTAAATCAGATAACAGTAATAATGAAGGATATTGTATTCGCGATTTTCACGATTTTTTAACACCATGTAATTGCTGTCTTTACATGATCCCTTCTCGTATCTCTCGTGAAAATTTAGATTTAGATTTATTTAGTCAAAAACCAGTAGAAACTGTATATGACATATGGGGGAGAAGATCGACGCACGTTTTCTTGAGTTCAAAAATCCCTTCCCGACATTGTAACTACAAATAGTTGAAAGATGAGTAAAAGTTTAAAATAAATAAATAAAAATACATTTTAAACAAGCGCAAGATTAGCAAAATTTGAGAAGATAGACATTTTCATTTCCGAGTTACAGAAAACTTATTTGCATCGGTAACGCAAGTATGATTTTTTTGCATTGCTAACAAAATAGTAACTCGCCCTTACCTCTACTCCTACCATTACAAGCAAAAGGAGAGTTCAACAAAACGTGCGCATAGTGAAGCTACATTTACGTCCAGGAGCAAAACAAAGGGCCATCTCAGCATTTGCTCAATGGATCAGGGACGCGGGACAAAAACCTGATAGAGATGGGGGTTATTGACACGGAAGCTGAAGTACATTATTTGTTACAATCATATTAAGTCTTTTCAAAAAATGTATAAAATACAAATGTGAACCGATTTGCAGTGATGCTACCGTGAAGGTCGAATTCAGCTTCTATCTGGAAGATAATCCTATTGGCCGACTGCTTCGATCGGTAATTTTCCGTGGTTTCTCCGATCAACGCCAGGCGAATGCCGCACGATTAGTCTAACAATAGGGTTACAGGCTGCGCGCGATCTTTCATTCCTCTTCCTTGTCCTGTCGTCACCTCCGTACTTATACACAGTTATACTTACATTCGTTTCAAAACAAGAAAGTTGCGAGGCCAGAGCTTCTCTTGTCTGGGGCAGTACTTCACTGGTACGAGATACCTGATTAGGGAAAACCCCACAATCCGACGTGTAAGTCTGTAATGGATCTCACCTTGCATCGTTGAAAGATCACCGCTACTTTCCTTGATAAAACAGGCACAACTCTTGAGGGGTCCAATGACCATAGCAGCTGACGCAAGAGGAAACGCGCAATAATCAATCAATCAATCAAACAAACAAACGCACGTGAAGGAATCGATTACCGCGGAGACTTTGAGAACAACAATGAAGCTGAACGATTATGTCTTATAACTAGAACCCCGTTTCTTAAGTTTTAATAACACCTCGTAACGTCTTTATTTTAATTTACTCGTATGTTTGTCTCAATCATTTCTTAGCAAAAACCTACAAATACTACAAAAGATTTTTTTCCTAAAAAGTGGTTAATCATCATTTTCTAAAATAATAATCTAGTTCGAAGTTAATTTCAGAAAAATACTTTTTTTTCTTTGGGTTGATCAGCATTTCACGGTGGTTTCGAGAGCGGTGCGAGTCATTTTAATGAATGGGCCTGATAAATTAGTGAGGAAAGTTCAATTTTATGTGTTTCTTTTATGCTTACGTTACATTGGCTCTCATCACTTATGGTAAAGAACGAGAGAGAATCGGCTCACATCTGCTCTAACAGGGCGAACGATATCACCGCGTGGTGCCACCGCGAGGTATTAGTGACTGTTTATAAATTCTGAGAAATCTTTTTATTTAATCAATATCACTGTAAAGTCCTGGTGCTTTGTTTCATCATTTAAAAAAAGGCATTTCAATTGTTCATTAAAACCACCAAAGACAGTGCAAATTAATTATAGCTTAAAATACGTTTTTCTCAAAATTTGTAAAATGTCACTTACTCTTCTGGGTTTCACCCATTCACTTATAACCCCAAACCTTTAAATTTGGAGTAATTACGCTTCACTACGTGTGTCCAACCACTTGACGAGGCTCGTGCCTTCGGTCTACCCGATTATCATAAAACATACTTAAGCCTGCCCAAAGAATGTGTGCCAAAATACTTTTTTTGCCGAACACCTTTAACTTGTAATTTTGACGCTAAGCTGCTCGTGTCGATCTTGGATAACGGGTCTCTGAATTTCGGCCAGTACTATTAATATAAAACGTCCTTGAGTCTGTGCAACGTACATTATAATTTTCAGTAATTTTCATTGGAAGTACGTAATCAGTGTGGGTTTCTTCCCGCCACTTTCTCGCTTTCGTTTACCGGTCTCGAGACGTCGGATTCGAGTCGTTACGAAACGGGATAAGTCACGTGACGTTGAAATGAATGGACTGTGGCGTGAATGTTGCCTTTGCGTGGAATCATAGTTCGCGCGAGGAATCCGTGCGCTCTGCTGACGTCACGAGGGAGTGCGGCAATGAATTCCACCTCAAAAATATCGACTTATTAGCTTTTACATGGCCTTCTCGCCTTAAAAATATTATTTAGATATTTCAGATATAAATGTAGACAACACAAGGTAAATTATGAAGATACATCGGATGTTAATGTAAATGACTTCTATTCCCATGAATATGTTCAAAGGTTTTTAATACATGAAAAATTAACCATTCTGTTTAATTTTGTCTATTTTGATGTAAATTCTATTTTAGGCATATTTAAGTTTAGAATTTTTTTCTTGAAACTATTTTGAATTTTGTAACCAGTACAAGATCCATCTTCGGCTATGGATAGTTGAGATATGGTTGCAGCTAGTGATAACTATAAAGCATTCACGACCAAACCGTTTCTATGCTTTGTAATAGGTGAAGTAAGCTAACTTAGCAGAGAGTGCTAGTCCTAACTTCGTGACGCGTCAAGTCATTAAGACCAAGCTGAGATCAGAAGAATGAAAGAAATAATAGATGGAGAAGAAACGATAGTCCAAATGATTGAAACGCAAGGGAAAGGTAAGTCCCTTGTGCAATTCTTTGCTAACAAGCATTATAAACAAAAAGTGCATAAGGGAATCTGTTGCGTATAATGACTAGCACTCGGATATCCTGAGTTCTTTTGCTGCTGAACTTGGAATGACATCATTTCTGCCCTCTCGCGCTGCCTGAAAATATCAGGGAAATATTCACCGTGTTCCTGGCTTATTAACTTCCATACTTTGACGTTCTTGAAAATCAATAACTCATTCCGCATCCTATGTGAAGGAGGCTAACCTATTTATGGTGTTTTGAAGCTATTGGTCAATATTCCATTATCATTGTATAATTGTCAATTATCAAATTGATGTCTTTTACTTTTGATACGCAGAGCGTAATGTTTTCTGGGTTTTGTAGATGTTTCTCAAGGATGTAAAGAACATTTGCAATAGGAGTATTACAATATAATATGCCTTGATGAGACTATATGACGTTCACAAGTATCCTTTTCACATAAATAAGTGTAATAAGTAAAATGCCATAAAGTAATGAATTATATACCAGAGTCTCAAATATGAATCTATAGGAGTCCAGATACGCATGTTCCACGTAGTTCGTGTAAGAGAAATTTATACTAGTTAACTACAGTCGAGATACGCTTGTAACTCAGACAACCTTGTCCCTGGGACCAACAGCAGTTTCCAAAAAGGTAGAGATGTTAGATAAAAATATTATCGCCAAAAACTATAGTCTTTCTTTAGCGTAAGATATGCAAATGATTATAAAGCTTCAAAAACATGATAATTTGTAACTACATTCCAGTCAAAAATATTTCTGGGTGCTACAACAAAGTATACAAATGTATAATAGGTACTGAAATAATTTCACAGAACTGTCACAGTCGTTTTCGATTAGGTTGAGGTGATTTCAAGGCTGAAAAGTGACCAATGTTTTTTACATTTTTAACTATAGCCCAGCAGTCTAAAAATCTAAAACAAATTCACAGTAATTTGTGTCTTGAGAAGTA